ATTGCCTGGCACAGAGTATTTGTTCAGTAAAGAGACAGATTTCAGATAAATAAATGAATGCACACTGGAAGAAACTAAAATGAAAACATCAAAAATGTTATTCCCTTCAAAAACTATCCTCCATTTAAAGAATATGCTTTAAGAAATAATCTCACTAGGTGGGTTTTGCTAATTCTTTGTACAAAAATAGGTTAGATAGTGCGCCTTAATTTGCATAATTGTAAAAAAAAATAGCAACAGATTATTGCTACTCTCTAAGCTGTTCATTAATTTTACACATCCAACCCCATACAACTAATTCACTGGGAGTTGTGCTAACTCAAAGGCAATTCAAACCCACAAGTGGTTCCCTGAGAGAAAGGTAGGCAATTTTCTCCCTTGTGATTTACACAGGAAAGGACACTATGACCCACAGGGTGAGCTAATAGTTTCAACTTATGGCAAATAAGGGGAATTATCTACACAGACTAACTGTATCTGGTTCTTTATGCAAAATATGCTAAATAAATCTACTCTGCACAATCTATTCTTTTATTCTTTTGGAGGAAAATAACCAAACTGTAGATTATACAAGCAAAAACCTACAGGTTTTTAATATAAAGCAAACTTAAAATAGCAATTATGACAAAATCTTTATACTACTTCTCTCTGTCAAAACATGTGCATTATAGAGAATTCAATGGAGGTTCTTATATGAAAACTAATTAGATAATAAACACAATAATCACTAATAAGAATAAAACTCAGAGAATGAGACAATACTACAAAATAAAGAATTCATGTGAATCACTGAAGCAGCAATGTCAGCCATGCAACAGAATGTCTGAGTGAAATCTTAAAGCAGAAATAAATTTCTTTTGCAAAGGCTTATACATACAGTCACTGAGTCAGAATCAACTACCATCAGGGGCTCTACCCTACTCTGTCAGGGTATGTGTAAGAAATTTCCAAATACTTACCATAGATATCCCCAAATCCCATGATGATGGCAATCACCAAAGCAAGTATGACACATTTATTAAGACCATTACTGAACTGGTGCTTATCCAAGTTCTCCTTGCAAGGTTCGGGCTCCCATTCAGCAGGCGATCCCTCTTCAGATTCTGAATCAGAAACAGTCTTTTTCCTAGCACGGCGACGTCTAAAAGCAGGACTGGGCTGATGATCAATTTCATCACTACTTGATTCATCATCATTATGTTGAGATGAAAATGCTATTTTACAAAGAAAAATGTAGATATTTAAGTAGTAAAAGTATTAAAATCACTGAAAATGTTTACAATGTAAATATGATTTAGAGTAACATTCCCACATGCCTCTTAAAACATAAGACACTCCAAGAAATCAAACAAACAAATACCACAAAACAAGTATTGTTTTATTAACTAAGGCCAAGAAATCTGTGATACACAAGAAAATTAATCATAATCAGCACCTCTGAAGGTCTAACTTCATTTTTTTTTTTT